TACAAACACAGTTTTTCTTCTTTGCAGACTTATAATTTCATTTATAATCTTAAGAGATATACAGAAATAAATATGCATGAAAAAAAAAAGAATCCACCCACATTGAATCTATGCAGATGTGAGCACGGATGCTCTTTTGTCTGCATATCCATATATATATATATATATATATCTTCAATCTTCCATGAATCTCTCACATACATTCATATCACATCCAAATGTAAACAAATGACGTCACAATTTATGAAATGGACAAAGTCCTACAATTATTTTAAGTCATTTTTCATGGAAGATTGAAGTTTAAAAACAGTAAATTCGACCTTGCTAACCAAACGCTCATCTGTAGCCAAATCGGTTAAGGCACATCAAGCTAAATGACGGTTTCGTATAGGATACAGGTTCGAGTCCTGTCAGAGGATGAATATTTTCTGTGAAAATTTCTGACATTCAGGCCAGTAAATGTTGTTTAATACTGTTTATTATAAACAGAGCATTTACTTAAATATTTGTATCTATAAAAAGAATGTATAAACATAAAAATGTCTTAAAATAATTGTTGGACTTTGTCCATTTCATAATATATATATATATATATATATATATATATATATATATACACACACATATATATATATATATATATATATATATATATATATATATATAATGATAAAATATACTTTTAAGGTATGCTATATTTCTGAGTTGAACTGCTTGATATCAAGGATAGAGCATATGTAAATAATAAAGTTGACATAGATTGTGTCTATAGATATAGACTCAATGGGGACATAGAAATCAACATCACAGTGTCTGTCAGTTTTATATCCCAATCTGATTTTCAGACCAAGCAGGTAAATTTATATTGATATTTTTGTCTGAAGATCACATTGCAGTGTGAAGCTAACATTCACCCAACAGATAGAATATTAGGTTTGAGAGACAGCTATGTAGTTTTACATGATTATTAATCATCATTAAATACGGAAATAAGTAGGGATCTCTAGCTATGCATTACAATCTCCATAAGTAAGCATTAGAAATACTAATTTCCATTGGGTTTATATAGTAGTATAAGTAAGAAAGGAAATTGATAGAATAAATAAAATGACTGTCATATATTTTGGGATTTATTAGATTGTTACATAAATTAAATTTTTATAATTTATTTTAATACTTATTATTTATTAATAGTTCTGATAAATCATTTGACAGTGTATTCCCTCTCATTTTTTATGAACTTCTGCCAATGATTCACTAACTGTTCAATGCTTCAATGGTAGAAATCTCTAGGTTTTGATTCGAAAAATTTATCAATCCATGTTTTAAGTTTCACATCATTGTTCAATGAAGCACTCCTCAAATTGTTAGAAAACGACCAAAAAGGATGGTAATCTGAAGAGGCTAAATCAGGAGAATATGGTGGGTGCAGTAGAACTTTTGCAATCAAGCTCTTCCTTTGTATTCACAAGTAGCTTGGTGTTGAGCAAGTAAACTGGTGGCAATGGAGCAGTGCTGGATTTTGTTTCTCTCAGTCAATGCATGTGGCACCTATATGCCATGTTACTGGACCTTAACTATTCAGTAAAAATGATGAGCGATAGTAACATGAGAGTTTGTGATCTTCTGAGCCAATTCCCTGGTGGTCTGGCATGGTTCTTCTTTAATCAGCACATGCAATTGGTTCTCATTAAACAGAACAGGTCAGCTAGAATGCATAGAGTCTGCAAGTTTGAACTTCTCCTCCTTGAAACAGGGAAGACCATTTCTGTACCATTCTGTCCATAATGAATTCATCTTCATACACAGCTCAAATGTCTTGAGCAGCTTTGGTAGCTTTGTGACCTTGATTAAAAGTAAAGAGCTGTCAAACATGCTCATTCTTGTCTACTTGATATTCCATCTCAAATGGGTGTCTAATCTGAAATAAAATTTCAATAAAATTAAACAAGTTTCACAATATGATCACAGTTAGGAAGAAGCAAAAAAAATGCAATGAAAGTTTACTCTTCCAGATCACTTGCAGAACATCAGGATAAAAAACAAACATATATAAAAACCTTATACATTACCATGTCATTGATCACCCTTTGGTTCATTTTCACATGTGACTTCATCCATTGTGATTTTTTTTTTTTTACAAACTATTATCTCTATCTATAAAAGGCAGGATGTGTGTGTGTGTGTGTGTGTGTAACGAATGCATGGCCGCAATTTTCGATAGATTTGCACCAAAATTTACATGCACATGCTCCAAGTTAGCAGGATGGCTAAGACCGACTTTGCATTTCCCAACTCCCATTGATAGTGGAAATAATCGATTTTTTCATGCTTCTACGGCAGTTTTCATGTAGTTTGCGGCCATTTTCTACTGGCCAGAGTGAGAGCCAATAGCTGGCTGCCACAAATAGGCAGGAAGATTCTATTGGCCAGCGTGAGAGCCAACAGCTGACTGACACGAATGTTAACTGGCATGCTAGCATACAAAAAAATTGATAGCTGCATTCATCACAAGTGAGAAAAATTTAAATCTGCATGGCACTTTACTCCAATTGGCTCATTCGCTTGCTTAAACTCAACGTTGATTCAGATTCTGCAGAACTGGGTTGGGTGTGAAAAAGTATTTGTTGTTAACATTCTTTTTTCATTCGGTTTTTCCGGTTACAAGTCCTTTTTTAAAGCTGATCGTTTTGTGTAGTTCTTTTTTCATAACAGATGTTTAGTATAGAGCTTAGAAAAAATTTGCAGTGTGAGATAGGCAAGAAGTAAGGCATGTAGCAACATCAGCACAGCACTCTTTTAAAGGCAAGGAAGGGCAAAAATATTTTAAGTCAAGTGATAGCAATTGCTGTACGAGTCGTGCGATTTTTGGATCAAGCACGGACAATGTCGGGCCATGCTGCTAGTTATAAAATATTTTTTCTCAGTCCTGAGAGATACAAAATAAACTATTTAAGTTCAATTCCAGTGGCCTGTCTCCCCAGACCATATCTCCCTCTGGAAAGGTTATCTGCTGCTTGAAGTATCACTCAGAATAAAAGTGCCCAGAGTACTGAACTTTTTTTTTTTATCTCTGATCCTATGTATGTGGGATCCCCACTTAAATTTGACCTTGTGTTACATTCCACTCAAGTGGGCGTCTGTATGAATACCTTCATAAAACATTTCAATTCTTGATTTATTAAATTAACTCAATGCAAATCTGAAAAAAAAAAAAGACTGCAGATAGCAGATCTATCAAATGTGTTTATAATATCTGAATGCTGAATTGTACACTCTTGAAAATACTTAAAAGCATTATGTCAAAGAAGTCATTTGTTTACATTCCTGCTAATGTACAGAATATAAAAAATGTAAATAGTCGTCATAACAACTCTTGTCAATCTGCTTATAATCTAGATAATGTATGTGCTATCATAATGACAATTTTCTTTGTAACAATTTATTCTGCTTAATATTTTTTTATGGTCTTTGTATAAAGATACTGTCACTTGAATACTTTAAATAATTTCTCTTATGTTTCCATCATAAAATATATATTTTATGATCTTCCAGATTTTTATGTTTTACATGTTAATTATATTCCATTATACACCCACAAACACTGATGTCCCAAAAGTCATTGCATGTTAAAGTTTTGGTAAATGGTACATTAATATCATAGGAATGGCTGGAATTACATCAGTTCTGCTCTGATATGTAGTGAGTCAGTGTTAACACCAGCTTGGCTACTCATTGCAAAGTAATGTGTATTCAATTTCCTAATTTCCTAAATGGTGAGATTATTTGATATTGTTTTATCTGTCGTGTCACATGTGTACCAGAAATACTTGGTGTAATACTGTCTGCCATAAACAACACATGGATGACCATAGGTTCTTCATGATCTTGACCAGAGACATCTGGATAGAATTGTCTATAGTCACCATCAACAAAATGTTCTGAAAGTATATCTGTCTTCAAGTTATATTTAAAAATGCATACAAGTATAATTAATAATAATGTATTCTATTGTTTCTTGTCCATAATTTTCATGTCATTTTGTTTTACTTTGTGCTTGAATTTTTAAATACTTTTCAGTCACCATAATTCTGCTTCTTCCTTAGTGAGCATGTACATTATGGCCTGACTTTACCTCAGATAAATAATGGATTATTCTGTTATAATTGTGAGAAATGATGAAATAAAAAGATATATCAAAGGTACTGTTTTATTTAAGGGAAAGAAATAAAGAGAAGATAGAGAAGGCAATAATTTTGTTAAAATATTTAAGCTCAAATATTTAATGATGTAAATAGAGAATTTCTATGGGCATTTTATAGTTTTGAAACTCACAAGGAACTTATTCTGTCCTTAAATTAAGAATTGTACTTCATGAGAATACGTGGCACAGTAGATAAAGGCGTTGGTTCGATCCAGTGACAGTGTGATAAAGTGTGAGTTCAATACCCAGTTAAGGCAGTGGAGAACTTGGAGAGGGGAATTAACAGGAGATAACTGTAACTGACATCCATTAAACATGGAACTAGAACAATCTACCCAAGTGAGTGAAATAAAGGGTTCAGTTCGACATTCCAACCACCTGAAGAAGGCCAGAGCATACAATGGCTGAAACATTGTAATAAATATGGCGACAAAGATGAGGACAATAGTCCGAATAATGTAAATAGTGTACATAATACCTCATCTCAGAAATATAGACAGATATCAAATAGGAAAGCTGTGAAATTTTCACAGTTACTGCTAGTGAATATTAATTTTTTATTTTGACTTCTCATATTTATCTGTTTTAAGTCTTTCTTTTTTTTGTTTTCTTTTATCTGAAATTGTGTACTTAATTTCATATTTGATCCTATTTTAAAATTTTGTCCAATATGTTCTTCACTTTACTTAATATAAGACTTTATTCCCTGTCAATGAAACTAAAATATGGATTTTTTTTTTAAATATTTAAATCCATTATCATTATTTTCTTTTTGATTTCTACCCTTTTTCTTTAGGAAAAAATTTGTGAAGAGAGTGCTTCATTTGACCTTACTTCCACAGACCTTGCACTTGTTATTGAAGAACTGACACAGCTCTCTGCCAAAATCATTGAAATGGCTCAAGCAGAGGCTACATCATTTACTGAGTCAGAGACAAATGGTAAGTTCACTTGAAATATTTTGCATGAAAAGTGTCTTTGACAATGATCTTCAAAAATGAGGAAATATTCCTTGTAGGCAAGATTCACACTCATAAGTTCCACTTATACTGGAAGAAAAGGAACATATATTCCTTTAGGTTAACAATATATTTTTCTGAGAATATATATATATAGTATAACAACAATAAGAAATACTGACCTATAACTGTTACTCCGAGTTTCAATAATGAAGCTTATAGTAACATTTATAAGTTAGTGGTTTCCAATGTGTTTTTGGTGGTGGTTGTTGTTATTGCCATTTGGCTTGGTTTTCCACTTTCGGTTCTCTTTATACTGTAAGCTTTGAGCACTGTTGTTTTTTGTTAAGGTAAGTGCTTGATTCTTTTGTTTTTAATTATTTTTTTGAAGGTTTTTTTGTAGGTAGACCATTCTTATATCAATATATATGACAAAATTTGTTATATTTGTAGGAGAAAGAGTGCTCAAGATCAGAGAGAATTTATAGATGTAGACAGCGTGTGCATAGAGATGACTATCTCACTTTAATGCAATCTCTATCCATACTTTCTTATAAGCATGTAGATATGTATATAATAGGTTTGTGTGTATACAGGGTGTGATGACTAAATTGTTGCCATTTTATATTTTTATTTTTGTGCATGCACAGTGCTTGTTTTTTATTTTGCTTACTGCACAGTATGGTAGGGTCAGTTGGGCATCATTTGTATGAAAAAAAGCACCATGATGCAATTCACTCCACCAGAAATTTGGAGACAGCATGCTGTACTGCTTGCCGTTCATGCTGGAAGCTCCAATACAAATATTTTAGTGTGTTTGAGTGTCAACCTGAGGACAGTGCAGAGGATTCAGAAAGAGTTGGATGAGTCTAATGGTGATTACGAAGGTACAGCAGCTTGGAAAACTCATTCTGATAAGAAAAGAACTCCCGAATTTGTTGATGAGATCCAGAACATGATTGACAACAATCCCTCCAAGTCAATCAGGTCCATAGATATGGACCTTGATAAGAAACAGTAGTGTCTTGGAAACCCAGACACTACTGTTTTTTATCAAGTAGGTAGTGCATGAAGACATCTTGTATGAGAAAGGGCCAATTTTTATCACAAGCCATGAAGGGCAAGAAGAAAGACCATGTTACGAAGATTTTGAAAAAGAAAAATAACACACATAACAACCATTGGCTTGAATTGACCCCCAAAAAACCGTCTGCTCATTCTCACGTTGACTGCTGACCTGAGATGGAACAAATACATTGAGTCAATTGCTTCGTCCACTGCGAGGAAAGTTGGCTCTCTGTGCCGCGCCAGGAAATTTTTCTCCCCGGAATCAATACTTCAAATATACAAATCAACCCTTTGTCCTTGCATGGAGTATTGCTGCCATATATGGTCTGGGGCACCTTCTGTTTACCTCAGAGTTCTTGACAATATCCAGAGATAGATATGTAATATAATTGGCCCTGATCTGGCAGCTCATTTGCAGTCACTCTCTCACAGATGAGCTATCGCCTCTCTCTGTCTTTTCTACAAATACTTTCATGGTAATTGCTCCGATGAGCTGCTTTCACTGGTTCTCAGACTCCATGACTTCAAGCGCCCTACGAGGCTGGCATCCCACTCCCACCCTTACACTGTAGAAACTTTTAAATGTAGCCGTCTCTTCTACTGCAATAGCTTCATACCTCGCACATCTCGCCTGTGGAACACCCTTCCCAATTACTGTTTCCCTGAGAGATATAATCTCCAACAATTCAAATGTAATGTCAATCGACATCTCCAGTTACCTTGATCTATCCACTATCCTTCTTCTCATCCTTTCTTCTATCACTCCTATCTGCTTTTGCTCCAAATCTTCTGCACCCCCCCCCCTGCATCCTAGTGGCTTCACGCCTTGCTTGGGGCATAATGCTTAAAAAAAAAAAGAAAAGATATACTGAGAGTAATGAAAACCAAATATCCAGTCAACATCATGGTGTTTGGAATGATCACTAGTGATGGTGACATTATACCTCCATTCATCTTCCCACAGAGTATCAAACTCAACACAGAAGCCTACATCAAGTTTCTTGAGAAGGTAATGCTGCCTTGGTTCAAGAGGGTAGCTACTGGAAGACCCTATGTCTAGCAACTGAACTCTGCACTATGCCACACAAGCAGGAGAACCCAGTCATAGATGTCAGACAATTTCTGCAGCCACATCACACTTTACATCTGGCCACCTGTTTCCCCAGACTGCAACCCCCCTTGATAATTATGTGTGGGGTACAGTTGAAGAGAGAGAGACCAACAAAAATCCTTGTAACACCAGAGATGAACTGAAGGCAAGGATTATGACAGCATTCACCAATTTAAACAAGGAGACCATTCAGAAGAGTTGCAGGAGATTCTGAAGTTGTCTGGAGGTTGTGGTTTGAAGTCAATGGCAATTTTACTGAATAAATTTACCCTTTCTTATTTTAAAATATTTTTGTGTAGTTTTGGCAAATATATCTGTTAAAATGTGATGTCAGTGTTATTTTCATTTTTGCATAATTTAGACAACAATTTATTGCACCCTGTATATTGATCTGTGTGTAAACATATTTTGAATATTTGTTTTTAAATAGAAGTTAACTTTTAATATCTTTAATTCCTTAAAATTATTCATGGAATATGGAGTCATCTTCACTTTTTTTTTGTCTAGAAATTTCTCTGAAAAGCAGTTATGCAACACATTCAACTTCCATGAAGATAATTTAATGTGTCATTGAAATATAAGAAGACATATAAACTTGTTCAGAAATTTTTTTATTTCTATGGAAATGTTCTTAATTTGTTGGCCAATGCATAAAAGAACCTGCAGTAAATTTTATGAATCATCTAATTTTCATCTATTAAACATTTCAAAATAACTTGTAGTTTACTATATATTTTAGTATCTACCAAAATAACTAAGATGCTGGAGTTTTTAAAATTCATTGTATCATATGGAAGTGTTAATTTTTTTTTTTTTTTTTTAATTTCTGGCAAGTTATAGAATAACATTAACTCATCACAAATCCCCAAAAAAAAGAAATAAAAACCTTCAGATTGTTATACGATGATAAATTAATAGAAAATATGGAAAAATACAGGGAAAATATTAAATGTATTCTGTTGTATTTCTTAATTTCAAATTACTTTCTACTTTTCAACCATTTCATATTTATTATGGGTTTGGTATTTTCAATCTTGACAAGTCAGTGTCAAAGTTTATTAACAACCAGCAATCATCATATCACTCAAAATCATTACAAAACAACATGTATAGTATGCATTGTTTAGGTGCTTTATCTATTGAGTTTTATAGAAATTTTAAATACAAAACTGACTCTATTTGTGTGTAGACAGCAATAATTCATCCAAACAGATTCTGTTAAATATGACCTATAAAATCTGTTTAATTTTTAAATTTCTTTTTACAATTTTCAAATAAGATGTTGTGTATCAGTATCAGACATATGGATAAAGTTGAAAGCACTTGGACCAATCAGAACAATCCATGAACTTTGACAGTTTGACAATTTTGATCCCAATGTACAGTGCTGTTTGATAAAAGTGACTCACCTGATTTTTTTTACTAAATGTTCTCTTCTCCGATGAAATGAATGTTGAGCTAAATTCAAAGGATAAGCAATCTAAAATCGAAAGAAGAAGCTTTGAAAGCTCTTTGAAGTTAGCAGTAAGTACTGTCAAGCATCTGTACAGCATAATGTTCTGGGGATGCTTTTCTTTTCATGGAACTGATTTCTTAAAACCTATTGAAAAGACCCCCAGGAGTGAGCAGTACAAGAGAATTTTAGAGTCTTGTCTGCTTTCTTCTGCTGAAAGGGTGCAAATCGACCCACCAAGTTCATTTTTATGCAAAATAATGTTCCCTGTCACAAATAAAAATTGATGAAGGAATACTTTGATGAGAATCAGGTGAGTGTTATGAAATGGGCGCCCCAATCTCCTGACCTCAACCCCATAGAAAACTCATGGAGCATTATAAAGTACAGGCTCTCGAGAAAGCTGTTGAGCAACATGCTTATCCTTTGAATTTAGCTCAACTTTCGTTTCATCGGAGAAGAGAACATTTAGTAAAAAAAATCAGGTGAGTCACTTTTATCGAACAGCAATGTACAACATCTTCTTTAAAATTGGAAAAATATATAATAAAAAATTGGACAGACCTTGTTGGTTAAATTTAACAAAACTTATATAGTTAATGTTGACAGAAACAATAGCTTCACCAGATGAACTATCCAATAAACTTTAAGAAAAAAATTAACCTAAATACTTGTAAATGTTTGTTATTTCTTTAATCCAACCCCAACTGGACTGGCAGGTGCAAATGAATGCAAGCTCCATTGGACAGTGAGCTGTATAACTAAGCTTCATATCTGAATTGTAATGATGTGAGTACGTGGCAGAATTATACCAAAAATAAGACAAAATCAGTGCAGTTTCATTAAAGACACTGCAACAAGGAATGTAATATTTATGTTCAGAATGACATCAGTAAGAAAAATACAAATTTATAAGAATGTATAACTGTTTTATGGATCATACAAAAGCATTTGATAAGGTACAACACAAAGAACTGTTTGAACTGCTAGGTAAGCTTGATTTATTTGGTAAAAATATTAGATTAATACAGAACTGATACTGGGAGCAAACTACCTGCATATTAATAGAAAAGAATTGAGTAAATACACAAAAATAGAAAGAGGTATAAGACAAGCATGTGTCTTCACACCAGATTTATTCTGCCTTTATAGTAAGAGAACTATAAATCCTACCAGGATTTATTGTTTGTGGGCACAATCTTTATAACATAAGCTATGCAGATAGCACTGTTTGAAAACACATGCAGAAAACTGCAGGAACTCAAAAAAGATTTAGTAAAGGAAAGAAAAAATGGCTAACCATCAATTGTAAGAAGAATGTGTGGTTGTCAGCAAGTGGAACAGCCTGGTGTGTGAGTTATGAA